TAACAAAGCTGATCCTGCCCCGCCTGGGGCAACAAAGATGGCACTCTTTGTGCTCGCTTGAGCTTGAGGTCCGCTGCGGAGTCGAATGCCTGACGAGAGAGGTGCTGTTGACACTCCCTCTTTTCTTCAAAGATTTGAAGATGACAATGAGAGCTCATCTTATATCCCGGATGGCTCGCCTTTGAAGGCCACAGAAAGCTGTACACAACTACTTCATCTTGCGTTCAATGGTTGAACTTCCGGGAATGTAGGTCTTCTGGTCTTTGACGAAACCGACGTACTGCAGGTACTGCTTGAGGTCTGCAACCTTCAGGCTTGAAGTCTTGTGGTTGAGGATGTACTCGCCGAGGTAGGTGTTGATCTCCTTGTCGGTCTGCGCGCGAATCACCAACTCAGCGTAGGAAAGATGCAGTTTAGCCACCTTCGGCAGCTGACAAAGGGTTTTGCCCCACTCNNGAAGAAGGGGGCTCTGACGTAGTCGCGTAGCCACCGCCGCTGCTGGAAGGCCTCATCGGCGGCTGCACTGCTGCGTGTGTGGAAACTGGCATCGGCTGAGGTGGAGTGTCGGGCCCGCCAGAGATCATTTCCCAGGCGTCCTCGCGGAGACGCTTTGAGGCATCCGTCATGGACCCAGGCATGGGTCCGGCTGATGCTGAAACATCAAAGACGCCGGTGTTGGCCCGGATCACTTGCATGATCTCTTCCATGCGGTTCTCGTCTCGAGCCTTTTGGATCAAGACCTGCATCTGCTCAGCGAGGTTCTGGGACTTCGTGTTTCTGGCCATTTGGACTACGGAAAACCACTACGAAAACCAGACTCGCCAGGGAACCGGACTCTCTAAGCTGCGGACTGAAGAGCAAAACGTGTCTCACGAACGCTCTGGGCGAAAGTGCTATGCAAATTCGCGGAGCCTCCTGTCACAACAGACGGCGTTGCAAACATTAACATCCTAAACCCCGTTCGGGGAGCTAAACCAAAAATCCAAACCTAATTCGAGGGAATCACGGGGAACTACGACCAAAACTCAAACCTAATTCGAGTGACTCACCTCCTATACAAACTTGCATACAGCGATGCCCTCAAGCTGATATCACGGGATAGGCATCTGCTTGGTTGGTCTCGCAGAGGCTGTGTCCTTCACTTGCTGCCACAAACGCTGGCGTGCCTCTCGGACTCTTTTCTTCTGGGCCAGTACAGAAGCCTCAGAGGATAACTGGTAGCAGCCGCCACTAAGGGCTGCCCTGATAAGGTCTGCGGGATCAGCTTGATCCTTCGTGAGCGCATCTGCAAGCATCAACTCAGTGGGACACCATCTCACACTCATGCCCGTCCGTTCGACACACTGCTTAATGATCGCAAGGTCTATGGCTACCCTCTTGTCGTCTACCTTAGACGGTGATGAAGGTGAATGCACTGCGTCGTACAAGCTTTTACAGTCCGTGATGCCGATGATTGGCACTTTACCTAGCATGGATGCCGACTCACGAAGGTCAATTGCGCCGTGCACAGCTTCATAGGTCATTAGGCTGACCCATTCTGCCAGCCCACTGGCGGATGCAAAAGCCTGTGCCTCTCCGGCTAGCGTAGACGCTACGACCCTTGCCATCTTGTACGACTTCCAACAAAACGGCGACCAATTTGACTCTTGATCCCGATCCAGCCGGCGATGCACGAAAGCAAGGAGATATCCGGCTTGTGTGCCATTAGCACCTGCATTGGCAAAGCCTGCGTCGCTATGGAAGGCAATGGCTAACTGATCTAGGGCGATGTCACGCACAGTGATGCTTACCTCTGCATGCTGCTTGGCACGTTGCACGAGTTGGTTTGCGGCTAGAAGATCCTTGACGCGTGGTTCGGGAAAAGACTGCTGTGAGAAAGACGTCTGAACAGCCAAATCGGGACGCGACTGTCCGCTCAACCAATTTGCAGCGCCATTGACAGCACGGAGGGCCGCGACCTCCTTGGGCGTCGCTAGAGCCTCTCGGTCCTTCCGTCGCTCCTTGGTGAGGGCGATCGGTCGCAAGTGTCTGGCATACTCTTTCTGCTGGAAAGTGATCTCAAACGTGGCTTGGTCCTGAGAGTACACCACACCGCAGAACTCCCCATTGCCAACACGCCACTTGCGATACGGAAAACGAGCCTTCAGTTTTTCTATCGCTCTTCGATACTCTGGACCCTCTCCACCAGTCATGGTGTCATCTACGTGTGCCCCTAACGCTCCTGCTAAAGACCCTGATGTAGAGCGAAAGAAGTACAAGCAACTGTCAAAAGATGAGCGTTGAAAGCCCACCGCTCGGGCCTCGGCATCGAAAGCTCGATACCATTCTTGCGGCGCGTTGTTTGCTCCATACATATTGCCTGTGACCTCCAGCACATCCTCCGGGTCCAAACCAGGAATTCCCCCTTCGGGCTGTTCAGCATAGAGGGGCCTGTAGCGTTCTGGGAGGGGACCTGCTTCCAAAAACGCGCCCTTAATATCCCCTAAATTCATGACCCAGTGATTCGAAACTAAGAGCTGTAGGAGCAACGCCCTGCCGAGCCCGCTGAGCGTTGGACTATGGCAGTCTCCGGAAGCGATTTTCTGATGAAAGTCTGGATCGAGATGCCCCTGTAGGCAGAGTCGAGCCTTCACCCTCTCACCGTCTTCATCCACCTTGTTTGTGATGACGAACCTCGAACCCATGAACCTGTTTGGGAATCTACGTCGAATCTCCCTCGCTTTGGCGCCCTTCCAGACTCTCATCGCCGTTTTTCCTTGAATCGTCTCCCATTCGAGGCTTTTTGCAGCATCTACTTTCAATTGGAGCTCTTGGGGATTGCCGAACGCGGGAATTTCTTTCTGCATACGCTTCTGCATGAAAGCTGCTAAGAGACACTCGACGGAGCTGCTGTGTAGATGTCCCAAATTATTGCCTTCTACAAACAGATCTTCATCGATACTGTGGTGTCTAGGCCTGGAAGCTACAGGGACGTCACCTGGCTCACGACTAGCTTCACGCTTGGTGCTTTCACCTCTAGGGCTGCGTTCAGGGCCTGCACTAGCCTGCGGCACGTTTCCGCTGGACTGCGACGGCTCGGAAGACAAACTTGGGGGCGGCAACTCTTGAAGCAAACGAGGCACAACTTCTTGCATCATCTCTAGAAAATCTTCGGGGTGCTCTTCCAGTGGACGTCGGTGAACCGGATGCGGCTTACTCTTATGAGGAACCCTCCTAACCGGACCATACCCTTCTAAGGACGTATCTTTAGGATTAGGGTCGTTAGGGGGGGGTCCTACCGAGAGTTGCTGTGGTTCGGCTCGCGTCTCGGACCGATTTGCAGGGATCTGTGCTTCGTGGCGGCCTTCAAAGAGTTGTCCCGCACTCATTGCATGCCCTAGGTCTGCAGCTGCCGGATTACCGTCAGGCTCGATGGGGTTTGGGGCCTCGGGCTGCCCGACCAAATCGATGAATTGACTGCGAGGAAACTGCCCTTTTTCGAGAAGCACCCGTATGCCTAGAAGCTCGTTGTCAGGAAAGACAGCCACGGTGGATTCCTCGTCAGTGGCCGGGCGCAACTGCTCAGGAGAACAGCGCATGATCGAGCGCTTGTGTGCTACCACAAGGTTGCGCCCTACACGTCCTAAAACCATAGCAGCGCCATACCATCTCCCCCCCTCTATTCTAGTGCCGTCTAAGGATTTCTGGGTACGCCAGTAGTAAACCCAGTCTCCGGACTGAAACTCGCGGTGTACGCGTGGGCGCGCACGCAACGCTGCTCGCAGAGCACGGTCGTCTTGGCACTCTAAAACGGCGCGACGGGCAGTCTGACGCACAACATGAGCATGCTGACACGACGGATCGGATGCAACAGCGTCGGAAGCTGCAAGATCAGGTGCATCCTGGAGGAGATCTGTAGGTACTCGCGGATTGCGGCCGAAGACGTATTGGTACGGACTGGCGCCAGCTTCGGTCAAAAGACTGTTCTTTGCTGACTGCGTTTGCACTATGCACGTGAGGTATTCCTCTTCCGACGTTGGGCGCACGTCGTCAAGGACACGCTGCAGGATGTTCTGGAACCAGCCTCCATGTCTTTCAACCTTCCCCAACTGCCAATGCGATCCAGTCGCAGTTTGCTCAACCGCTATACCCTGATTATTGCAGAACTCTGCAAGAACCTCGCCTAGATTAGGCCGGGCTGGATCCAAAACCAACACCTTCGGTGGACCTGCCCACGAGACCCAACGATCGCGAACAACTGAGCGGATGAGTTCACCAGATTCACGCTTGAAGAGAGGAATCATAACTTGCAGGGATGATGCGTAGTCTACTATGTTCACACACGGCACCTTCTGACCTGTTTGCCAACTGGGTAGATGTTTAATATCAAGGCCTATCCTATCATTAAACTCCTGAACTCGGTGGGTGTTTGCAGGTAGGGGTGCTGCGGGACGCTGGTGATTGGCACACACAGAGCACTGCAAAAGCGATGCTCGCTGCACTGCCAAGCTGGAGGCTCCACTGTGCTTTAGGATCCTGTTGAGCTCGCGGCTAGAAGGATGTCCTAGATTAGCATGCAGCTTCTTAAGGGCCTGGTCTACCTTGCGCAGTTGCTCTGGCGAGGGTTCTTGCTGGGCTTGTGCCGGGGCGTCCTCGTCTTCGCCAGCTAAGCATTCACAACCAAGGGCTACCCAGTCCACGTGTGATTTGACTTGTCTGGTTTGAGGGCCTAAATGTGTCCAGACGGCTTCTACGAATGCCTGGGGGAAATTGTCAGCCGGGGTTCTTGGGGAATCACTATCCGCTACAACCTTATGAGTAGGACAACCCGGACAGCTGCGCACTACCTCGCCCACGGATGGGTGAGACGAGATGATTCCGGTGGCCTTCTGTACTGGAAGCCTGCTTTTGGGACAACACAAGCCGTACCCACACATGTCTATCCTATGCAACCCGAAACGACGCTTGAGGGACTGCACTTCAGGGAGCTTCCACACCGGAGAGTTCAACGCATGCTCAAAAAGGAATTGGCCTCCGCGCTTGAGCTGCCTATGGATTTCTTGCACACAAAACTTCACCTGCTGACGGGCTGTTCTGGCGAGACGCGCCCGCTCAACGGGGGTCAGCAGACACCTGTTCGACCGCACACACGGAGGGCAGGCCAACAGAAGCTCCGGACACGCTGTATCCAGCAGCTTGCTCACTTCGTGCTGCGTCTGCTCATCTAGAAGATCACACCCTTGCTCGACGCTAAAAGATAGCCCAGTGCCCCCCTGTGCCCTGGCCTTCTCCGCAAAGCACGGTGAGCAGAACAACTCTGCTACAGCTGTCTGAGAGTCGTTGCGACACTCCTGCTGCTTCACCTGAGCCAGAAGACATCTGCACTCTTTTTGTTTGAGGGTGACTTTTGTCTTGGGCTTCTTCTTCGGGACTGGTGCTTCTAAAGTCTCTTGCGGGTGAGTGGTGCCTGCGAGGTCATCTGCTAAACGTTTAGGCTCAGCTACATCTAAGGACTCCTTTACACAGTCGGGCTCGTCGGCAACGCTACCCTGGACAGGCTTCCTATTCGTAGGGTCTCTGGGACTACGAGTACCTAGGGTACCCTGAGTTCCTACGTGCGAGGCGTGCTGTTGCGGGTGAGTCCTGGCCTCACGCGCTTGCTGCGAGTCTGCTGGAAAGTCCAGCACATTGATCAGTAGCTGACCTGCCGGATTGGTGTGCATAGGGATCGCTTGGGTTTGATCTAGGAACCGCATAGACTTGTCGCGAAAGTTCAGAACCACGTTCAAGCGCTCCAGCGTTGGGCGACCTAGGAGGAGAGGAGCCTTTCCTTCGATGATCGCTGCGTCAATCAAGCCAAGCTTCTGGGAGATCCCAACTGGAATTCTAACAGCCTGGGCCGATGTCTCGGTGGCCCCGTTGCCAAAGCGAAAGACACTCGTGCTCTCGTAGACTTCGGGCTCCTTGTCCACTCGACTGCTAAGCATCGTGCTCAAGGTCGACAAGGTTTCTCTGCCGATCAGAGTTCGGCCACAACCCGAATCTACGACGCCAAAGCCAGGGCTCGAGACGAGGCCTGCACCAAGGTTCTCTGCGTAGTCCTTGGGGACGTCGGCGTTCATCACCTCCGCGGCGCCCACAAAGGCAAACTCGGGCTCTGCTAGGTGTGCCTCGTGGGTTGACGAATTCGTCGCCGAGGTCGTCGACGAGGTCGCATGGCCTTCCCGCGATCCAAGGTTAGCCTTGCACTCCCGGGCCCAATGACCAAAACGATGACATCGGTTGCATCTGGTTCTCTTCTTCAGCTCCTCGATTTCTACCCGGAAACTTCTCTTGGCCTGCTCGGCACTCTTGCCGAAGCCGCGCTTCTGCTGCAACTTGGTGATCTCTTTGCGTCGCTCCTTCCACGTGACAGCCAAAGCCTCAGCTGCCTCCTCCTCCTGGAACACCTCGGCTTCTTGCTTGGCCTCGTTGAAACCGTGGTCCGCGAGGAACGCTTCGACGTCCTCGAAGTCGTCCGTCTCCTCGACGGTGTCCTCGGGGCCAACAGCGAGGTCAGGGTCGACGAGGTACGTGTTCACCGGTCGGCGGGCTCTGCTCGCGCTGGCCTTGTACTGAGGAAAGCACGACCGCAAGGCTGCTGTCACGACCTCGATCTCCAGCTTGCCTTGCGTCTTGGCCTTCACGATGGCCTTCTGCTCCTCTGAAAGGCCTGCGCAATTCAGTGTTATCCATCCTTGGGCTGGGGATGGAAACTGCACCTTGGCCTTCCTGACGCACTTCTGGAAGACCTCGTGCACTCGAGACGACCACTGTTGCATGGTCTCTCCGTCTTTGGCACACAGAGCGAAAACCTCGCCCAGCGCCTCGCCCATCTGGTCTTCCGACTCCTTCTCTGGGAACCGGGCCGTCAACAGAGTCCACAAAGTAGATGCCCCGTCTTCTTTGACCAGGTCTGTCAACGTCAAGTGTTCCACCGCCTCTAAGGCGCGCCCGTCCAACAGAGTGTAGATCCATGGGCCTTTCTGCTTCTCTGAGAGATCCTTCATGGTAACCATCTTGGCCTCGGCCCAGTTTCTGAACTTTCTGAGCTGCTTGCCTGCATCATCGGCGTCGTCGCCGCTGAAACGTTTGAGTCCCCGCTCATCTGAGGAAGCCATGGCTAGAAGCTACGTCCTACGCCTACCTAGGCGAGTGCTTCTGGAGCACTCCCTCTTGGGAGAAGCCCCGATACCAGTAACAAAGCTGATCCTGCCCCGCCTGGGGCAACAAAGATGGC